ATCTTTCTAATCAAGGTTTTGGTATGTTAAACATAATAGTGATGGACTATCAGACTCTTAATCGTTGCTCATTCTTTGCTAGGAAGAGGAAGAACAGCTATTATCTGGGTTGAAGGAGGAGAGCCGGGCTTCAGAAGCAACTCGAAGGATTGTACAAGAAGAAGAAGAGAGGCTGCTTTTGCTGAAGGCCCCCCTTCAGAGAAAGCTATCTGATATCAGTTATTTTTTTGTGTCTCACAGTATAAATTTCTTCTTATTATTTTTAACCTAAGATAATTCTGACTAGAGATGCTTGTTGCAGTGCTGAAATGTGGTTTAAAGAATATAGGTGGTGATGTGGAGCGATGCCTGTCAATGGTGAGATATCTTTTATGATTCATTTTGGACATGATCTGTTTACTTAACTCACTCACCATTCCTCAGTGTGTGGAAGAACGGTTGAAGGGGTTGATATCTTATCTTATAAGACTGTCAAAACAGGTTAATCCTATTTGCCAAAAGTCTAGGCTGATTATTATTTTCCGTGTTTTCTGTTCCTTGAGTTTACTTCCCTTTTCAGAGGGTTGACATTGAAAAATCGAGGCATCGGTTTGTCATCACTTCAGATGTCCGACGCCAGATTTTGTTAGCGAACCAAAAAACCAAGGAAGAGTGGGACAAAAAGCAGGCTGAAGAGTCTGAAAAGCTTCGTAAAGTAAATGAAGTGAGTAGACAGAATCTTTTTTTTTTGTTAGTATTTTGCTGGTTTTGTCTCAACTACACATCCTATTAAGTTCATCTTTTGAACCATATGCTTTGTTTCTTCTTCATTTGGATTTTTTTTTCTTCATTGAGGTATTTAAAGATTAAATAATTGTTGTATATTTTTGTATATCTTGTCCAGCTAATAAGATACTTTTGTTTGAAAGTTAAAAGAACTTTCTGCAAAAAAAATCTTTCCTAGCAGTATTTTTAGTTTGTTTACTTTGCGCATGGACTTCACACTGTGTTTAAGCAGTTTCAGACTTGTAAAACCTATCATGACCGACAAGTATGTAGTTGCAGATGGATGGAAACACAGGGGTTGATGCTGAAAAGGACAAAGAAGATGGTCGTCCAAAGGCCCTTAAGGTAGCATTGATCTTTAACAAAATTGTTGTGTGTTACCTTTTCCCCTTCAATTATTTGTCCTGTAAGCAGGCTAACAAGGAAGAGGATGACAAAATGAGAGCAACTGCTGCAAATGTTGCAGCCCGAGCTGCTGTTGGTGGAGATGATATGCTGTCGAAATGGCAACTCATGGCTGAACAAGCTCGGCAGAAACGCGAAGGACTCGATGGGGCACCTGGTAAAACTGCAAGCAGCAAACCATTACTGAGCTTAGGAAGAAGCTCGAGAGAAAAGCAAGAATCTGAAAAGAAAGGCTCTTCTGCTGTGTCTGCATCAGGTAAGTGTGTTACATACCTTTGCAATGTTCAGTATAAGGTCTTGTAGTATAAGCCCTTTACTACAGCTGAGACTAGGGATGTTAAGAGTTTGATTCGACCTGATATCGTCTAGTCTAGTTAGAATCATAAGTTGTTAGGAATGATTACATCAAATCCAATCATTCTGGAAAATGCAGAAGGATTGCATTGAATTCAATTATTCACTATAATTTCCAGAAGATGTCAAGAATGATCATATTGATAATTTATTATTATTTTTAGAATGACATATCAAAAAGCATACATGTGATGAATTTTCATTTTATTATACTATAATTATAAAATGTAATGATAAATTATGGAGATCTTATATCCTCCCTCTTCTATAAATTCACACTACAAGAAGGAAATATAATGCTACATGTTAATCAATCTTTGGGATATTCTATTTTTTATAATTGAACGCCATTATAGGTGCATTTAATATGCATTTCTCTATTACATTACTACTGTTAATTTATACAAGAGGGAGGAGACAAAATCTATGTAACTTATCATCACTTTTCATAATTATAAAAATAAAAAAATAATGTTATCTATATATACATGATAGTATAATAAAATATAAAATCAATAATTACTAATATGTCAGTCTGAAAATGATAATAAATTATTGATATAATCGTTGCTGATACCTATTCAAAATGATATTATATAATTGGATTTGATGTAATCCAAATGATAGTGAATGATTTTGACATAATCCTTTTTGACACTCCCCTCAAAGTGTATATCCATAACACCCACCTTGCCAAGTAAATAATGAAACTGGTTTGAACTAAGAGCATTAGTAAAAAGATCAGCAAGTTGTTGAGTAGTATGCACAGCTTGAAATTTCTAATGAACCAGATGATAGTTAATCTCAATATATTTTGTTCATTCATAAAAACAAGATCTGAAGCAATATGGAAGGGTGCTTGATCATCACAATGCAAAATTATTGGTAGTATATGTTCAATCACTAATAATTGTTTCAACCAAGTAATTTTGCAACAAGTTATTGTCATTGGTCTATATTCTGCTTCAACTGAAGAACGTAAGATGGTTATTTGCTTCTTAATCTTTGAAGAAATAGGAGATTGTCTGAGTAGAGGGTTATTCGCTGGTTAATCTTTGATCCATCTGTTGCATTTGAGATCTCATATTTTGACCTGATTGGGTTCTATAGTGAGAGAAGTATTACAATGCATAGCAAATGGCTTAACCTGATTGGCTTCATTGTGTTGTTAGTATGCTTTGCGCTCAAATGGCTTAACTTGATTTTACTCTTTAATTATATGCTTCAGGGGGTACAAGGAGATTTGGCAGGAAAAATGCACTGGAATCTCATCCGAAAGTGGCACGTAATGTTTCTCTCAAAGATGTGATTGCAGCCCTCGAGAGGGAACCTCAGATGTCAAAATCAGCTTTGATCTACCGCCTGTACGAGAGACTGTCAAGTAATTCATCTGCAACATGATGAGCTCAAAGTTGCTTCCCTCCTCTTCTGACTCAGGCCTGGCCTTGGAAAGCAGCCGGTCAAGGTTGTTAGAACTCTGCCCCTTGGAACTCTTGGGATCAGCAAGCTTTGTTACTCCTAGGAAGATCCGTACCGAGAACATTGTTTGTTATTTTGTATAATTGTAAATGTAAGTTATGGCAATTAATCTGTAATGAAACTCTTCTTTGTTAGAAAAAAATATCGGATGATGTTATTCTAATGGTCATGATTTCAATGGAAATCTTCGTGCAGAGAATACCTTTCGATAGGCTATTGCTCCGACAAACGGAGGCCAACATCCAATAAGATCATGGCCAAAAATGGTCAAACCAGGGACATGTCCACTCTTATCCCTCGCATACTCGATCGCCTCTGATTCAAGTCAAGATGATTTCATTTGTGTTGAACTGGCATGAGCCCGTGCACCGTGCTTCTATCTCATCGTGGATGTTTGGACTTGTAATCTTGTCGTGTACAGAGAGCTCAATGGCAGAAACTATTCATAAAGCTTATCATTAGGGTTTGTTGTTGCTGTTGTCTTCAACAAGCAAATAAAATTGTAGATGTCATATGATGCTTTGGTTGCATGCTGATAAGATACTTCGCCTCATCTGAGCATCCATTTGAGCTCACCGATATGTCTCGGAAGAAAAATGATGCCAATTTTTCTTGCGTGGCGTGACTGTGCGTTACCATTTGGATACGTCTCAGAACACAACCCCTTGTACGACTGAGCTTCGTCAAACTTTAGGTTGTGATTCGGAGACGTAAATGTGAAAATGGACCATTAGAAGTCAAACTGTATTCACTCTCTGAACCCACGGGATCAAGCCGAACCACTTTTGAAGTTGATCTGCCGAGTCAACGCGCCGACTTCCAGTTGGGCGGAGATCCACCGGTGACGCGTCGAGTCACGTCGAAGTCAACCATGAGGTCACAAGGATTGGTGAGAGTTGGATCAATCTTCCATCAAGTGGTGTAGGTAGGATCTTATTGTACGCTTCTGATGCTCAATAGATCCCTCTCTCATGCAAGCAATTAATCGTCCTTGGATCAACCCAGCCTAATAATCCAAAACCAATACGTTTCTAATATCATGTTAGATTTTTTATCGTTGCTGTTCCATCATCTGAGTTGCTTTTGTATTCTTATTAGGGCGTTTTTACTTTAGAAAAAAAAAGATCTCATTTTAATTTTTTTGCAAACAATGTTCCCTTTTTCATTTTCTCAAACAATAATACAATTCAAAAAATATTCAAATCATCCCTCAAAAACTTTTCTTATGTTTTGTTTGTTATGATATTTTTAAAAACATTATAAAATCTACTTAAAAATAATATAAATAAGCTAAATAAAATTAAAATATATTAAAAAGTATTATATATATATATATATATCATATTATTTAAAATAAAATATTTATAATAATTTAAGAACAACATCACTAAAATATTAATTTGTTATAGTGTTTTGATCATTATAATAAAAATATTACAAAACCTGCTTAAAAATATTAAAAATAATTTAAACGAACTCAATTAAACTAACTATAAACTCAAAAATATGATATCATAATAGCTTACCAATAATGATAACTAAAGAGATGATGTAATTTATAGTATATTTCAATATCATTTATAATATTTTCAATACTTAATAAAAATATATGTAAATATTATTAAATGAATCAAATAAAAATACTATCACAGTACAAAACTGATTAAAAAAAGGAGAATTTTTTGAAAAAAAATCTAAAACGTAGATCTTTTCTGGTCAACGGGACAAGCCAACACGAAACCCGGTGGGTGGCAAGGGAAGTCGGCTTTGTCTCACACAACCTCTGTCTAATTAGTTCTGATCGTTCCGTCATTATAGTTCGTCTCTTTCTTTGTCTCTTCTTTTGATATTATATTCCCGTCTTTACGGAGGTTGACATGACGATGCATGGGACAATGGCACCTACATGGAATGACGCATCATCCCATGTAGTTCAAAAGAAAGCATGGAAGGTATCTGATGCATTAAAATAATATGGGGGGGTGGGAGAAGATGACTTCGAGAAAGACTTAAACACCATCGCATTAAGTATTCTAAACACGTAAAACATGACTCTATATAAAATTAGCAGAGCAAAACTACGAGACGGTCAAACTTCGATTTCTTTATGTTCTTTTCTATTTCTTTTTTCTTCCTTAGGAAACGGACTTCTCCTTCCTTTCCCGACACGCACGTTCGTTGACCAGAGATTTGACTTGGAAGGTTGGTCGGTCGGTTTGGCCCCACCAGTTTCAGTCGGAGCGGTGCGGGGACCACTTGGGCGGGGCGGGGCTGAAGTGGGCGGAGACGACGCGCGAGTCGAGCAGCTCGAGGATGGGCGGGAAGCTGACGCAGCGAGGTACCTTGTACTGGTTGATGGACGCCCCCCGGGATATGGCGTAGTCCATCAACTCCTCGAATGTGCCGCCCCGCACAACCCGTATTTCCAGCGGCCCGATCGAGCCGTCCGCCACCCGGCTCTGCCGGTACACCGAGTTCAGCGCCTCCTCCATCGCCAGGCAGCACCGCTTCAACACCCCATCCCGCACCAGCGCCTCCATGGCCGCCTCCGCCGCGGCCGGAGACGACGAGTCCTTGACCAGCAGCTCCCAGTATATGACGTAGTGCCCCGGGATTGCCTTCGTGTACGCGTGGCTCGTGTACTCGACCACGTTCGCTCGGTACGGCCGCAGCAGCGCCGACGCGCTCTCCACCGCCCGCTGTAGCTCCGCCTCGTCGGTCTTGTCGGACTCGATGCTCAGCAGCACGTTCTTCCGGCGGACGAACCGGAACTGCGGCGCCGCGTTGTAGAAGCCTGTCACACGCAGGATGTCCCCCACGCGGTACCGGTTCAGCCCGGCGTAGGTGGTGATCACCAGCTCGTACTCCTTCCCCACCTCCACGTCCGCCAGGTCCACCAGCTGTGCCTTGTCCCCCACCGAGAGGCCGTCGCCTCCGTGCGGCAGGAACTCGAAGTAGGCCATGTTGGGCATGATGGTGTAGGAGACCTCGGAGGGGTCGCAGATGGGCTTGAGGTTGAGGCCGAAGTAGCATTCGGACGACGCGTACATGGTGCACGCCATGGGGAGGCCCCCGCTGTAGTACTCCAGGGTGGGGATGTACTGCGCCATGGCGCCCGTCACGATCACGTCAAGGTACTTGGTGTTGGGCCAGATCCGGGTGACGATCCCGGACCACTCCCCCTTGGAGCACTCGGCGACGATGAACCGGGCGAGCTCAGGGTCCGGCTTGAGGAGCTCCGCGACTGAGTCGCGGACGGACGGGTCGGTAACCTTGACAGTGAGAGTCCCGGTGGCGATGTCCTGCGAGAGCTCCTGCCAGTTGAGCTGTAGGAAGCGGATAGCGCGGAGGAGGCCGGAGGCGAAGACGGCGCCCACTCGGAGGACGTCGAGACGCTGGAGGAGGCCGCAGAGCATCTGCACGTACATGCTCTGGAACGCGTCGGCACAGAGGATGGCGGCCGTCGGACTGGTGTACACGTTGTATGGGTCGTACGGTCGGCTCTTGAAGTGCTCGCTCTTGTAGTAGCTCGTCAACACCGGCCGCGCCGTCAGCCCGCCGGGGGTCTTGGTCTCCGATTTCACGAAGAGGAAATAGAGTCCCTTCCCCTTGTTGAGCCCCGGCACGTAGCTGTTCCATTGCCAGAAGGCATTAAGATCAGATGCAGATCAATGAATGCCTTTGAGAAGGGTAAAATGGAAGATCACATTTACTCACAGGTTCATCACAGGCATGAGAAGGCTGTAAAGGAGCTGCCGGCGATCCAGCTCTTCTTTGATGGTGGGCATCAGCTTCCTCTCGCCAGCGGACGTCCCGGAGCTTTAGATGAAGCCAGACATGATCTCACGCATTTATACACCAACCAGTTCATTAAACTACGAGCAAACATGAAAGATCTGGTTTACCTGGTGAGGAACTCAGAGATGGGATGAGCGGAGAGGATAGCGGAGCGATCGCCATTAGCGATCCTCTGGATCTCCGGCTGCAAGTCCTCGTAGGTGACTACGGGAACCTTGGCCTTGAAGGTGACACGGTCGGCGGCGCCGCCGAGAAGGTACCTCTGGAGGTACTCGGTCTCGGCGTTGCGCATCAGGATCTCCGCCAGCACCGTCTCCTGCACCGCGTCGGCGTTCGCGGTCATCTCCTCGATGAACCTCAGCTTCTCAGAGTCATTATCGTTGGCTGCCGGCCCGAGCTTTGCCGCGTCTGCGCTCGTAGCGGGCAGAACGGTCTCCACGGCCATTTCGCTCGTCTGCACAGGCGCTACTTGGTTGCAAGAAGCAGAGGAGGGTGGGGGGGAAGGAAGCTCGAGAGCTCAAGAGACGCAAGGGGAAGAGGGAACGATGAGCGTTGTGGGCAGCGCGAGGACCAATTTATAGGCAAAGCCCCAGACTTCGATGGACAAGGGTCCACCGGGAGGGGGAGAACGAACTGAGTCAGGGCGTGCAGGTCCGCAGCGCGACACTGTGGACCAGCGGTTGCGTCGGCTTCCAGACACCGCCCGACATCCGGGCCCAGTCGCGTCGGCCCCTGTCGCCGTCCGACTCGACACCGGCACACGTGACGCTCCGAGGCGAGCCTGGGCGGGCGGCGCAGCCCGGAACTGCGGCCGCGGTGACCAAGCTTCCCACGGTTTTGGATGTCCCTGGCGGAATCACTCCAAAGAAATCTTGGAAGGCGTTTCAAGTACGGTTCCCTAGGTTGCCAACCATGTAACATCGTATATGAGAGTTCCTTGTGTCGCGTCCGGTAAGGGGGGAGCCTTCTTGGCCGATCGGGACTTTTCTCTTCACCGATGTGATCATCTCGAGTAAATACGGTTCTTCCTCTTGGCTCCGTTCGTCCACATTACTAGATGGGGGAGCCTTCTTGGCCCGATCTAGCAAGAGCTTCTCCTTTAACTGATCTGATCATTTCGAGTGAATACGGCGCCTCTTGGCTCGATTTGTCCGCATTAGCCAGGATTCCCCAAGCTGCCCACTTTGGGCATTGAAAGTTCTAGTTGTGGGATAATGAGGATGATAAGCTACCACATCGCGAGAGTCTAGACTTACTCAAATAGGCCAATGAAAACTTTTGTAAACACTATTATGTGTCAGGGATTGACTAGTAGGGAGTGGGGTGGCCTTGAATTAGAAAAGTCGTAAATTAGATACCTCAATCACGTGTGACATGCCACATATTTTTTGTTTATTATATTATTTAATATTTTATCACTTTATATTACTTATTGTATATATGCATATTATATTGTGATGTTCATGGATTTGTGTAATGGGAATCGAATCATAATGAGATCACGATAGTGAAACCGATTCACTTTTAAATACATACCCTAAATAATCATGGTCATATGTTACTCGAAAGAGATATCGAGATAACCGGACAGATTGACGTGTTATATACTCATCCATATGATGGAGGTAATTGGTCTCATAGCTGCTCGTGTGGGAACATTAAGGCAAAGTGCAAGTGTTAATTAGAAAATGACTTTACTGATTGATCCGCTCACGGAATGCTAGATGGTTAATGATACGTCATTATCAAATAATGATTGTATTATCCCAGTGGTGTACTTGGTCCTTAAACTTGAGACACTAAGGATATCATGTATGAGTACTCAACTCTTTAATACTAGACTTAATAGGCCTGAAAGTTTCAGATCTAGCACAACCGGTCATCGGGAGTGGCAGCCAAACTTTATGAGGACTATTAAGTATCGATAGAGGATGATCCACTCTCGGTATCATAAGAAGAATATCATATACGTTCTTGATCAAATAAATCCCTTGTTAGAGTCATTTAGATTGAAAGAGAAAGAGTTACTCAAGAGAATCTGATTAGAGCGAGACTCGAGTAGAAACCATATGGGTCTGATACCACTATGTCTGGTATACAATCTCTGGGATATTAGATGGATGAATGACTATAGGTACACGATAATTGAGGACATATAGGTCTAAAGGATTGGATTTCCCTGTATTGCCTAGGGACTTTGGCGTAGTAACATAGTACGTCCACAATCGATGAGTCGAGTGAATTATTATGGAAATAATAATTCATTGAGCTAGAAGGAGTTCTGACATGTATGACTCACAGCCAGCTCAATATTTGGCATAGAGGGTCACACATATATAGTAGGCGTTGTGACGAGTAAAGGTTTGGATATGAGATATTCGTCGGAGCCCCTATCTTATTGGATGTCTAATAAGCCCCTGAATTATTTGATTCTATGAATGTGATCTAATAAGAGCCAATGAGATATTATCGGATAGAGATCCACTAATCTAAGAGGCTCTATAAATAGGAGATCCTTGACCGAGAGGACATAATTCATTAGGGTTAATTGATATGGGGCCTATATAAATAGGAGGAAACCAAACACCCATAGACTAGATGTTTCTTGGTTGTCACCTCTTATTCTCCTATTCTCTTCTTCTTAGATAGCAGGTGTAGAGATTTAAGCAGCGATTTGAGGAGTGTCGTCGTAGTCCTACTGCGTGAATCATCGCTAGAGAGGAGGACGCTTGACCACCTTCATCCTCTCCTACAGATATAGAGGGATTCAAGGATATGCGATCTCTCTATGTAACACGACAATATCCCCCGTGGTTTTAAGTTTTATAGGTTTTGCGTACCAATCTTCATACGATGATGAATACCTTTTTGAGAAATTTAGAGTTTTTATTTTTTTGTTCTTCTGTTGCCATGTAATGTTGCCCCTAGATTTTCCTATACCTTGAAGCTTTGATAGGAGAGAATGCGAGTTGAGTCGTTAGATTTTCCCAAACCTACAAAGGTGTGGAGTATGTTGGTTGATGCTTCTTCCCGTAATGCTCTTACACCCATTTTGGAGGACCATTGCTATCCGTCATATCGATCCATCCTTGTAGGACCTAACCTAATTTAGGCTTTGGTTGGAAGTAAGCTGATCTATCCTGAGACATCATGAAGCTACTGGGGATTCTCGACTTGGTTCCTCCAATGTTGTAAAATTGTAAAATTATTGCTCCTAGAATGATAATCAAACACTTGTAGAAGATCGATGTTGGAGATTCTCGACTTGGTTCCTCCAATGTTCAAATTAATAGGGTGTTCAAAATACCCTAAAATTAGGGACAACAAAGGAGAGAGAAAGACTATTTATAGTTTAAAATCTCTAATCGTTGGAGACTAGGACGGTTAGAGTAGTTGCCGATGACATAATATAACTGTCTTTAGGGTGGCAAATTCACCATTGAGATAGTCGATGAGATAATCTAATCACATATAAGGTGACAGATTTGACCACTGAGATGGCATGTGTCATTGGAATGACTAGCTATTGTCGAAGTAGTTGGTGACAAATCCTAAATGCCTTTGAGGTGACGGCTTCGACCATCGACGTGACATAACTACTATTGAAATGATTAGTGATTGGCCTAACCACCCCTACTTAGTCGTTTCGACCACTAAGGTGATGTAACTATCATTGAGATGATCGATATCATGATCGATTATGTAGTACATATGATTTCCTTACGCCATCCTCCTAATTTCCTAATAGGAAAAAAGAGGGGTGCGTGCCGGTTCTCTAAGTTCATCCACGCATTGAGTTCTACTAATCGTCATGCAAGATTTTTTTGAATCTTATGTTTTCCGTGCAAGCTTCTCAATCAATATTTGTCTGTATAACGTGATCGTCCATCGACAGAAGCTCAATCAACAAGTAATCTCCAGGCCATGACAGGGACCTTTGAACAACACAGCAGTCTTGGAACTCCTACGTTGCCTCTGATATCGCCATGCATTAGAAAGCTGATGAAGGTGCTCAACTTGGTCGCGTAGGAGATACAGTTGGAGTGCTTGGCTTCATTAGGAAAGCCGGACATCATGAAGTCCACGGCCACATCAAATCAAGGAGGTGATCCTTGACCGAGAGGCCACCTAATACGAAGAGAGAGAGGACGACGTGTCCATCTCAAATGGCGAGGTCCATGGAAGTTAGGCACTTGCTATCCGTTCCTCAAACCTGTGTCCCAAAAGAAAGAACTACGACGTCAGATGCACTTTGCTGGTCCATGGAAGATAGCTCCGCGTCCATCTTTACTTGGTGAATTAAAGTCAAACACTTTGCTTGCTGTACTTCTCTCAATCAAAACCTCAACTCCAAGACAAAGCTACCTTACAGTAGGGGCTGGGATAAGATCACAGCAATCTTTGACCCAAGCCATCTCTTAACATCAACTTGGCACGACAGATCTGACTTGTCAACGCTTGAGCTCTTAAACCTTCCCCCGCATTCCAGAGAAAGCTCACGGAAGTTTAGGAAGTCAACTCTATTTGCAGAAGTAACACGAGACATCTCCATAATTCATTTAATACACGCATTAGTGATATGCCTACACGGAGATGGAGAGAGAGAGAGAGAGAGAGAGAGAGAGAGAGGTGTGTGGTTTATCTTATATTGAGTTGGTAGCTCAACGACTGTACCTTTCCATGGCTCCTCCTCATCCTGAGCTTCGCTGTAGAGGTAGTCTGAGACCACGGTCCATGTCTACAGAAGGGTAAGACGCAACGATCCATGTAGCAGCAGGCAACATCCCCCGCATCACTTCCAAAAACACATCTGTCACCATAAATGCGACTTCAAATCCATGGCATCGACGCAAGGATCAATGGCCCTTACAGTAATTGTTTAATCATTCCAGCTCTTAATTGGTCTCCCCAGGTGGTGACCACCGCAGTCGCAGGCTTTGCCGGTGTCTTCAGTCACCAGCTGAGTCCCACTGTGTGTACGTGATGACAGATTGCAGCTGTTGCCTGCTGCTGCAGAGGATTCTCAAAATGAGAGCCCAAGCAGTGGCCTTTTTCGAGGCCAAAGGGATACTGCTATTTGAATATTTCAACTAAAGAGTTCAGATAAGCATACTTATAACAAGGGGTTGACTATTAAGGCAATGGATCAAAAGTTTGTGGCACTAAATCTCATCCAACCTCTTTCTTATCTCCTTTTTACCAAGACATTCTCGCTCCCACTCGGACCAACGTGTTCCTGTCTCACCTGCACGAAACTTCAACTTTCCCCGCTCAAACTGTGGGAGAACTTTGACTCACATGGTGGAAGGCAGTGCGTTAATTAATGTTTAACCTGAGACTGACTTGTGATGATGACAGCCATTTGCAGGTCTAGATCTCTACATCCAGATGTTTGGTCTTATGGTCTCATATTCACAGTCAGAAAAGAAAATACAAGAAGAACAAAATTGGTGTGGTTAGCATGGTGGAAGAATGCACATTAAAGTATGTCTAATTTGTTTAATCTGCCACTGACTGATACAGCTAAAGATGGTGTTCAGATGAATTCTTTCTCCTTCTTCCTCTGTACTCCTGTTCTCCTGTCTTTGTTTATTTCTCCCTCTGTTTTCTTTTTCTTTTCTTAGTTGATTGAGGTTAGGCAAAATGAGTGACTTGTGATGATGACAGCCATTTGTAATTGGAGGTTACCTTTCTACGTCCATCCAGAGGTTTGATCTTATAGAATCATCCACAGTCCAGTCAAAAATATAAAAAGGAAAATATAATAAGATACTTCATTGTTTGCTGTAGTATGCATGTTTTTGTATCTTTTTTTCCTTTGTATTTCTAGTTGGACATGTCAAAATCTCACATGTTTATCAAGAATTAAATCAATGTCGCAAATTGGCTCGCAAATGAGGATCCATTTTGAACTTTGAAGCTCATGGCTTAGGCTGTATTAAACAGTTCAAGTAATATAGTTTTCTTTTCTTGCTAAATAAAAAACACACAAAGAACACAATGGAATTCCTAACAGTTAATTCATGCTATCTGCATTGGTAGATCATGTGCCATCAAGATCAATTTATAGAGTAAGCGTATGCATCATAGCTGCTTGACTGGTTAGTCTGTTCTTTGAACTGCAAGAGCTCAACCCAGAGGATGTTTTGGATCATGTCTTGTGCTGGTTGTTGTATGAGTATATTTGCATTGAAACATTGGACTAATAGATGTTAGGTCAAGAAATCCAGCCCATCATTAAGTGGTCTTCTCCATCTCCACCAGTTTCACAACCATGGGTTTGGGTCTCCCACAATTCTTTTGAGGATGGGCAGGCCTGGGACTAACCAGTTTCTCTTTTCTCTTGTTTCCTCTCCTTGATTTTGGAGTCATGAAAATACACAAGGAAACAAGATAAATAGGACAAATGTCCAAAAAGAAATTTGGGAGAATATTATAATGCTTGTATGAGATTCATTTAGCCTATGTTGGGATTGACCAGTAACTTGGAGCTTCTAGAGCCAGTATCCTATGGGATAAAATTCTAATATAAGAAGGAATCCTAATGAAAGAATAAAATTAGATTTTGATTCTTCTATAAATATCTCATGTATATTTATGTTTTGATGAGGTAAAACAAAATGCGAGGAATACTTTTAGTGATGTTGTGCTTCTCTTTAGGATGTCTAAAGAGAATATTTTATAGGATTGTTAGAGAAAATTAAAGAAAAAATATAATAATTTTTTAGAATTTATGTAAAAGAGTATATAAGTATATTATGCTCGAGTAGAGACAACTCAAGAGTATTGTAATTGATCTTACATGATGAAAGAAATTAGTTTTTTTTCATGAATATAGATGAGAATCATCGATCCACGTTAAGTCTTATATCGATTTATTATTTATTATTATTATTATTATTTAAATATATATCTTTTGTCTTTGAGGTTCTTCTCTCGCCCCCAATACAATGGATTAAGCTCTTGAAGTCCAATAAACTCATACACGTTATGAGTATAAATATCTATAATCACGCCAATCCGATAGCTCATTGGATCTAAATAAAAAATTAGGATTCGATATTTTGGATGGTTGGCATCATCAGCATCTAATTGGAATTCTAGGACTGTCGATTGATCTTCAAAGTCTCATATCAACGAGATATTTGTGCAATGGATCATGATTTTTATATTGATTAGATCATACAACTCCATGTCCCGAGAGCCAAAAAGATATAATATCAGAGACTTGGATTCACCAAATCCGGAAGGTGAACGGGTGGAAAAGACAGCAGATGGATAGATGATGGGCAGTTCTATTTTAGATCTTGTCATGATAACATGATGGGGCTGCCATTGTTATATCTCCAACAGAGCCAAAAGAAGGAGAGTTCTACAGGTCATCGGCCATCCTCAGCAACTTTTGTATTCTCCATGAGCTAAATAAACAATGTGATCCTCTTTCTATCTGAAACATTCTCGGTCTAATGGTACGACTCATGTTTTGTTGTTCAGAGCATTTGCTTTCATGTCTAAATGGTTAAGAAAGGAAAAAGACGAGGAACAAAGATTCTGGTCAGTACATGAAAAAGGGAAAAGACATGTGGGACGTACAAGTGGCCAGTGGTGGCACAACAGATATGATCTGATTCCTAGCAATCTTGATCTTGCTCGTGTGGAAGTGGAAGTAGAGGAAGACGTCGGGTTGTTTTCAGAGGAAGCTTTTGGAGATAGTAATGGAGGTCACCGTTTCTTTGGGCCACTGACAAAAAGAACAATGTGCTTTTAGTTGCTTTTGGGAAAACGATAAGAGTTACTACACCAAACACTGTCACTGAGAGACACAGCTGCTCCAGATCATGGGTTGGAGTGAGCAAAACTTCTACACCATCTCCACTAATAAATCACGCAACCTTTTGTCTTGTTGTAAAGATCACTATACGTGTTTCAGCAAACATGGTTGGCATCTTGATCTTGTAGGTGATTCAGCTGCAACTTTCTCTTCATGACTACTACTCTCATGAGAAGAAGATTTGATCGGCACGTATTATGTTCCTTCTCAGCTTTTGCCAACAGATTTTTCTTTTGCTCAGAAGCAAACGTTTCATGTTCATGGACCATTAAGAGTATCCATGGATCTACTGCTCTCTCCAGATTTGTATGAACCTGTGAGCGTATGAACAGCAAGCAAAGCTAGCGCAAAATATTGCTTGATCAATAATTCTTCGTCAAAAATACAATATAAGTGTGAAGGACAAGTCACAAAACATGGTGATTTAGTAGCCTGCATACTCGTCCATGGCTTCCTTCTTCATCCCTACACGGAGAACTTTCCTAACAGTGAAAACTGAACTTTGGAGATGCAGCGAGTTACACTAAAGCCTGAGGCTCAGGTCAAGCTTTTGTTGCTGTGGAGGCTCAGACTCCATTTGGAAGCTCTCGGTCCAGCTCGAACGCGAAGCTTCGTCGACTACGAACGGCGACCACGTCGCCTTGGTGTGATCAAAGCTGGCCGCCTCTGGCTCGCGGAATCGCTCGTGAACCATGGAATGTGGACGAACAACATTAAGGGAGTGGAGAAAGGGTACATGCAGGGGGGAAGCCGCCATCATCATCATCATCATCCTTTGTGGCGTGTTAGACCTCCGAGCTGCGCACCTCTCCCTCTTGTGGGCATTCTGATGCCCCCCCAAGGCCTGCGAGCTGAAGAACTTCCTCATGCAGTAGTTGCATGAGAACATCCTGTGGCTGGGTGGAGGTCTGGGCTGGGAGCTGGAAGAGCTTCTTCCACCGAGTGTCAGGTTCAGCCATTCTTCTCGTTCGTCACCAGCCATTGCACTGCCATCAGAAGCAGCCGGATCCCGTGGTGGGTTCTGACTGCTTGCTGCTGGCTCCTCTCCCAGCTCACCCGGATCCATCTGCAAGTGAACAGTCCTGTGCTCAAGAGAGGTGAGCTGTAGGGAGGCCACAGGGTGTGGGATGGGAAGGCATATAGGGTTTTTGGAGTTATGGTGGTGTCTCTTAAAAAGGAACCCGAACAAGGAATGAAGTGGGAATTATTGCACGACAAGATTCATCAGCCAGAAAAGGTGTGTCAGTGGATGCTTTAGTTTATCTCTCTTTGCATCATTGGCCCACACTGTGGTGTTTATTATGCTACAGGCAATTCCTCTGTCGTTCTCACTATGGCTTAGGGCAATTTTTCGGATTCTTTACTATTTTCTCGTCAGGTCTTCCCAGCTGACATTGGTTGTCTTCTCTGAAACCAACAGGGCAGGCAATCTAACATGCCCATCCACCTCCACATCTCGAAGCTACTGCAGATCTTTGGTACAGCTTATATGTACCTTCACCAGAAACATGTTTATGGTGCACAGGATGCCATCCATTAGAGGATTTAGAAATCAGGAACTCAAATTGTGTCATTGCTTTTTGCTTGAATTGATGAAGCAGGAGAATGTCTTCTTGCAAGCCATAAACAACCATCATGTTCTTTTTCATCGGATGTCAACCATCTTATTTGATTATTATGATATCCTTTTCCAGCTTTTGCCAGCAAGATTTTACAGAATTTATGATCACAACACTGCTATGGAAGATGGAGTGGCTTTCGGAGTGTTGGACAAACTCTTCACTACAAATCATCAAGTATCTCATCATAAGTGTCTTCTTTTGGACTCCAAGGTGTGTCCACAAGGGTCATGTCATGTCTTTGGTGCTTTGACTGTGCAACAAGCTCTCATCGCAGGCAATGACCTGTGAGGAGATTGATGCCTGCCTTTACAGCATTATCATTGCTATCATCTGAAAATGTTAGGTCCCCGCAAAAGTATCAACAGTGGCATAAAGTTAGGTCAGGCTTTTGGTCTTCATTAACATTCCTTCATCATGTTGCTTCTTCAGTGGAATACCTTGGTGGAGGTGCTTCAGCAAAACCTGCAGGTCCAACTAGTGGCGTATGTTTCAACAGATGTGCCTTAAGAACCACTTTATGATCTGCAAGTAGGGCTTCTTGCAATGGAATGAGATTGCTGGGAAGACCATATAAATAAGCTGCTGTGTGAGTCCATGCATATGTGTTGCTTTCTGCTGGCTGCAGATACAAGCTTTGATGCTGATGGTTGCCACTGGTGGAATTCTTATGGATTTGGATGGGCGACTCAGACGGTCTGATCTAGAGAGAGGAGACATTGATTCTCTTCCACACATTCCCCCCCAGATACATGCAGTCATAGAATGATGGTGTCACAGGAAATGTGTTGATGTCACTGGTACTGATCCATCTTGTTTGTCCACGCTGCTTGTGTTGAATTCTTGAAAAGCATTGAACATTGGAAGCATGTTGCCATCTCAGGAAGCTGGAGAAGAAGCAATCAATTGGACAGAACCAGTGCCAGAGGAGTGAGAAATCTTTTACCAACTTCTGCAACTTAGAATGAAAAATCTGGACGCACAGTTATAACTTAGATTGGTGGTGCTTCTGCAGATATGATTTATGTGTACCTAAAATCTTTGCCCACCTGAATCAAATATGATTTATGTCACACACTAGCAATGTGGTACTTCAAATCCAATCAGGCTATGTTACAATATTCACAACTCCTACTGATGTTAGGTTTTTGACACAGAATATTATAGAACAAATAAAGCTTCATTTACAATTGAATTGCCAGTATACACATAGCTTTTACATCATAAAATGCTCATTGATCAATTCAACGCTGCTGATGCCGAAAAAGGTATTATGGCTCTCTACATTGATCTATAAAGAAACTTGGCCTCCATAACCAGACTAAACATCCAAGAAATTTGATCTCTTTCATCACCTCTCAACCAGTAGAGCTTCAGCGATACCAGCAAACCAGTCAGCTGAATCAGATATTGAATCAGTTTACTTACAAGCAGGTAGTGTAGATTGGTAGTAACGACATTTTTATGAGACGCTAGTCTCTTCTCACTAGCTGCTTGCATGGAGATTGCTGTGGCACTTATCCATCATATAGCATATAATTGCTGGGATCAACTTGACGTAGTTCCTTTCATGTGTGGAAAGATGTTGGTCAGATAATTTTCGCAATCCAGGGTGTTTGTTTTGATTTCATAGGCTTCTACTCTAATATAAAAAAGCAGCCCTGAAATTCTATTTTCCCTGATTTCTCCCTGTCACTGTAAACCAGACACAATAAGAACCAATTCCATTTCACTGTAACAAGAAATTGAATGAATAGTTTAAATAAATACTTCTCACTATTCACCAACAAAACTATCCGAGATTGAGATAAAAAGATTATAAGCAGAGAAAATTATAATTAAGCCTGCTAGCTGCAAAATTCTTTGTTCGAATCAGAAATGAAATGTCAAAATGGCATTGGTTGTCGATTTGTGTAATGTCATCAGCAGTCTCAAATGGAGCCCTTAAAAGTGATTCTTCTAAAATTTAGATTGGACAGGTTTCGGCAGAGATCCATGGTCAATCTAGATCATAGGCACCTAAAAAATGAAGGAAGAAAATTCTAAATGAGGCATCGTACTTGAGTGTGGCTGTGGTTGTTCCAAGAGAAATGCATCCAATCTGGTGAGACTGTTGTATAAATAGCAATAAGACAACACTTCCCTGAGCATGCAACTTCAGATATTTACTAATGCACAGACACAATAGGTGAAAGCCCTCTGGGGTTAATGGGATTACCGCTTGTTATTACTAGTGCATCTCTGCCTAGATACATTATATTTGAATGAACAATGAAAATGGGATCTCAATATTACCTCGTTGGATCCATGATCTCCTAACTGCTTGGCGAATATGACGCTCGTGCTGCTGCAGAAGTTCATCAACCTTGTGGGTTTGAGATAGCAAAGGCCCTGAGAACTCAACTCTGTCTTGATCATGGAAACCCTGAGATTTATCAAGAGAAGCTAAGTCACAGTTTAGACAATAAGGACTAGAAGGTGCTTGCAGACAAAAATGTTACATTTCATCAGCTATTGATCTACCTTGTAAAGGTCTTTTGATAACTCCTGAGAGTAGTATATATCAGAAGAGTCGAATGATTGTGGATGTTCTAAACGTGTCCAATTTTTCACAATTGCATGCTTGGCCAACTCAATTGATCCATGGCCTTTGGAACCAGCATGCACGTTGTGTGTACTCCCATTTACTTGTCCCTCAAAGTAAAGCTTATTTTTAACATTTTCAATACTGGATGGATCTCTTGCAAAAGAGAGACGAGTTTTTGAGTTACTTGTACCACAAGATCTACCATCTGCATGATCTTCTTGGGAGTTGCACTTAATGTTATGTCCATCATCTGGATGGGTGATTAATGGAATCGGCTGGAGATCTACAAATAGTCTAGTTTCACCATCTACTCTCAGATGATCTTTCTTTACATTATTTCTATCAATTCCAGTAACATTGATCCAAGACTCCTGAAAATTATACCAAACAACAGAGATTATGCACTCTCCAGCAAGTCAGGTCATAATAACTTTTTCTTCCTCCTACTGAAAGCTTTTTTAACAATAAGAAGGCAAAATACCTCTTTGCTATCTGCTATTTTACTGAGCCCTCCTGGTTCCTGTGAAGCTTTATTTGATCTCAATGGTCTCACTATGGCTTCTGATCCATGCCCTCTACCGGCAACTTTTCTCCTGAAATGACAAAAAACTGTGAAAATGATGGCAGAATGACCAGTGGTCACATGCTTCAACGGATAGATCTTCTTTAGAGAATCGGAAAGTCTCAGAACAGAAGAGTGAGCCTGACTTCAAGAACCTTTAGATCCAGTGATAAATGGATTAAATGCCATCAACAAACATGAAGGATATAGCTTCCTAAATAGTCCTCAAATAGACAGAGAGGAAGTGTTTTGATATGAATATGAAACTTCTGCCTTTTGCAAAATCAAATAAACACTAAAAACTCTGTGCAGCAGAAAATTTTATATAATATTTTTTAGCAGCTTAAAAAGGCTTGTACAGAGATCAAAAGAACAAATTAATCGTCTTTATAGTTTATTCTAGATCTCACCAAGTGTGCAGATGGTTAAAAATTACCTGTGCAGCTCATCATAATTCTTTGTGTCAATCTCTTTGGTGGGTGGGTATTTTGGCAAATCTGAGGATTCACAGGCATAAGGTTTCGTTCTGAAATACTGTAAATCATATAAAGCAAACATAATAAGTAGAAGGTACAAAATGGCTGAATAATTTCTATAGATCTAACTCAGAAAATTTGAAAATGAAAAATAAGGTGACTTATATTTAAGTCATCAAACAATTGATTGCTTTTCACAGAACAATTTACATTGAACAGTTACTCCAACAACTTAGATCTTAAGAAACATGTATGCATAAATATGACATGACTATTGCCAAGAAAATTGAAGTTTTTGAGTGATCCAGAATGGAGAGGTACTTTCTAGTTCCAACTATCCTGGTTTTCTGTTTTGCATAATTTATGACACTGCAACTTAAAATATTCTGGTCCTGCTTAATAATTTGTTGGGTCATTGCAACTCTGATGGAAGTCAACCAAAGTTGGATCTCCTGATTAACACTGTCCCCCCTAATCCTGGAAAGGGAAAATTTTTGAATTTGCAGGACAAGAGATGGAATAAAAATGTAATTAACATCTTTCACTTGTCACTAGGAAGTAGGAACAATCAAATGAGTTCAAGAAATATAAGAGATTCAAGCTACAATTAATTTAATTGTTAAAATACAGCTTGAACATTTTCTAAGTATACAGATGCACAATATTACATTTCTTAATTGGATCTCTTGCATTATTGCTTTCTTAGTTTACTATCCTGTCTTTACATATGATTCCATGGATGCCAATGATGATGTGAGACTCATAATCTGGACTCTGTTATCATGGTGGTATAATTCCAAACCAACAATCCAGAATCTACTCAGAAGAAAACAAGTTTGGTTGTGGCAGCTTTTATGTGGATTACTTTCAGGCAACC